AGTATCTGTTACAACAACTTTATTGAATAAAGTAGTTGATAGTTTAAAAGTATCTGTTACAACAACTTTATTGAATAAAGTAGTTGATAGTTTAAAAGCATCTGCTACAACAACTTTATTCAATGAAGTAGTTGATAGTTTAAAAGTATCTGCTACAACAACTTTATTGAATAAAGTAGTTGATAGTTTAAACGTACAACAACTATTTTGTCAAATATATTTTTATCTCATTATTTTCAAGTCACAACAGTGAATACTGTTTGCAACAAATTTTTCTAATTCTTTAATAAGAAATTAATTGTCTTACCAATAGATACCAAATATCTTTGAAATGATAATGTCAAATCTTTGATTATGAAAAACATACTTATAGATGTCATTAACTAAGTGGATTCGGACTTGTTGGATAACAACTATTCTGTTTTAATAGATTTATTTACATTACCCTGTGGGTTACCACAGTCGTATCCAGAACTTTAAATAATTGTCTCCTTTTCATCAAAGTCCACACAGTTGAGTTCATTTACTTTAGGACACCCAAGGACAACTTATTCTCCTTATCTCTGTTAACTGTATTGCCACGGGTATTCTTTACTGCACATGGCACAAGGATCCTTTAAGGTTTACAAAGATTAGATTAGGTAAAATAAATAATTATGATATTATAATAAAAATGTTTCACGAGGTACACACGTGAGCAGCTCATGGTAGCTTGTGTAGTAATGTAATTTGTTAGTGTAACGTGAGCTTCACTTTCTCCGAGTGATTTACAACTTATAATGGCATGGATAGTAGCTAGACAAGGTTTAAAGGGCAATAAAACATTAAAATTTAAGTATAAATAGATGTATACTGTTACAAGCTTAGAGCTACTTAGGATAGACGAATGTAGTTTCATGTTACAATTTGAAGTTATTCTAGAAAGAAAAAAAAAGTTAATTTAGGTTTATTTAAATTTTTTTTTTATCGGTGGTTATGAAGTCGGTCGAATTGACCAATTCTGTTTTGAGATAGGGTAGAGAAAATAACAGATAAACTATAAAGTTTTACTTAAAAAAAAACATGTTTGAAATGCATTTAAGAGGTTTTAGGGATTACAAAAAGGAAATTTGAGCTTTTTGAGATGAGTATTGTTAATTTTAACATTACTTGCCGAATGTGTATTTCGTTGTGTGCCATCACTATAAGGGATTAGAATATACTAAACTTTACACATTATATAGGCTACACTAACATGACATTTAGGCAGTTCATTTAACTATTATACGTGACGTATGTTTTTTGGGGGGTGGTTGATGAAAGTGTTCCAAAACATGACACTAATTTCTTGACGATCTTATACATCTTAGCGTGATTGTCTTACCAAGTACATCTTAGCGTACCTGTCTTACCAAATACATATTAGCGTGATTGTCTTACCAAATACATATTAGCGTGATTGTCTTACCAAATACATCTTAGCCTACCTGTCATACCAAATACATTTTAGCGTGATTGTCTTACCAAATACATCTTAGCGTACCTGTCTTACCAAATACATCTTAGC